GACATCACTCGACTCTCACTCGATATTGAGCAAGCTCTGCAAGTTTCAATCACGAATCGCGTTTCGTACTAGCAATGTAAAAAGTTGAACGTGGTTGGTAGTTGTTACGGAAATGAGCCTTATGGTCGAATAGCTTGAGTGGCGTGCCATAACTAAGCATATGGATGCAAATAAACTTATTTTCTACGTGAGGGTATTTCCTTAAACCCACGAAAAAGATGCAAAAGCGCCACGAGGCAGCGACCAAAAATACGAGCACATACCGATATTTGGCATAGCGAACACTTTCAGCACCGCCACTGACATCTTCCGGTGAGTTCAAGTACTACGATATTTGGCATAGCGAACACTTTCAGCACCGCCACTGACATCTTCCGGTAAGTTCAAGTACTACAGTTGGGGGCTGAGGTGGCGATTTCGCATGGCTAGTTTGGCACCATAACGGCATGCAAACGTTCCATGACGCAATTAAGCAGTGACATATTGACAAAACACAAGTACCTGGATTGGGGAATTTTGTCATCTAGAACAATCTCTTCCACTTGAAAATGTACCAACGCTTATAATTTCGTTGATTTCATCACATCTGATGTCTGTTTCAACAGCGTCGAATGTAGAACATTACCTTAAAGTCAGCATTATGGAGGGAGGGGCTGAGGCACTTCGAAATTATACAAAGTGGCACCATTGGATGAACGTCCTCGTTTGTGTTGCCCTTTTGTTATTTTTTTATCATTTTGATCCGCCCTATTTAACGCAAAGGAAACCCCTTACCTTTTTCCGAGCAAGGAACCCAGCGGGTAAAACACTAGGAGCACATTTCCGTTCCAGCCCGGGGTGCCTACCGGCTGCCATTCTGGTGAAATAGGGGCTGTGTGTACGTGTGGGCCTTCCTGACAAAACTGCACGCACATTGGTCGCCTGCCTGATGCTGGGGGCCGCTGACCCGGAAACTTGTGCCTGGATCGACGCAGGGGCGCTCAGTGACGTAAAACACATCCCTTATCGACACAGCTGTCCAATGATTGGCACAGAGTCTCAAGTTCAGCATAGCGGGCCTCTGGCTGAAATGGGCTGGAGAGCTGTAATGAAACCCCCGACTGACTGAAACACGGACCTGACCTTCTTTTGCCTCATTGTGCACTCTCATCGTAAATGATCATATCCACTTTTATTGCCAGAGGTCCCCGAGCAACGCAGGAGGCCCTCTAGCGCTCCGGGTCCAGTCTCTGTCCCTGCTCAGCAAATGCTACCGTGGCCAACTTAGAGTCCCTTACCGACCCAAACTACCTATTTGCTTGGGCATCATTGCTTCTGGGGTCCCGACCAATGTTAAAAGCGGGTCCCAGCCTTGTCCTCGTTTGGGAAATGGGTTCCCAGGGCTCAGAGCGACACGGAGCCGACTGTTGGTTGCTGATGGTATCTGACCAAAATAGAGGCCTTTATCGTCCTATCGCGTCCCCTGGGCCACCTAAAAGAATATAAATCGAAACCCGTGGGCTGCAAAATGCGGCAGCTTTTCAGAGCACAGGGTGGTCCAGATAAAAATAGACGCACGTGTTCACCAACAGGTGTATTTGTCGCACAATCGTGGCTGTGGTGGTTATGCAGCGCGATCCAGCGGCAACGGATGATAATCAGGTGATATTTCATTAAGATCTATTTAAATGTCTTCCCGTGAATTACACACCCTTTTTAAAAAGCGTTTCCAAAGAAGGACAGCTAACATTTATTAGAAATGTGAAGTCATTCTTCGACAGAAAGCAAATTAGCATCTACGAAATATGTCGACAAATTCTTTTACATTCTACTGCTTGAAAACACAAATTCCAAGTGGCTCAAATCCAGGCAGAAATTGGGTTCTGGGGTAGATTAGGTCAACCTTTAAGGTGTAGCCCCCCTAACTGATTTTAGAAAATGGCACCCTTGTCCGCAACACAGCTGCGTCTGGCACCATGACAGAAGATTGTGGTCTCGTCCTAGTCCTACAGTGATGCCAGGCGCAGACAGCTGATACAGATACCTGTATTGTAAATACTGTTTTGGCCGCCGGTTGGCTCAACGTGTGAACTGTACACACTACGACCATCTTTACGATCGTTGCACCGATACGGCACCCGAAGCTGTCGCCTGCAGGTTGTAAATCTTTTGTGTGACGCCTAACAGGCTCAGGCGCACAATTTTCTTCGTGCCATGTTAGTGTGAAAATGCATCTCTGTGAAAGCAAATGAGATTTTAGTCAGTCCTAGCTGAAAGCCAGATCCAAGGCCTTGGAGCCTGTGTTTGCCGTTGTGGACTTCATCGTGCGTTAGTATAGTTCAAAATAGCGGCAGGGGCTGACGACCCCTAACAAACCAAGTGCAGAAGACAGCATACCAATTGAAGCGCTACAGGCTATACATTCGTATCGCTAAGCACTCCACACTGTGGTAACAGTCTGGCTGACTCTGTGTGGCAACGGCATGGCAGCGGTCGCACGGCGGCCCCACAACAGCTGAAAACACATGGCTCTGCCACCTGCAGATTGAGACGAATGTCCACGGGTCCATGCGGTCAATGCCACAGAGAACGCAATGCCTTCCAAACCACGCTCCGGTGCGATCGATGCATCATGGCGACCTGGCAAGCGCACAAAGCCCCGGGCTTAAATTCGCGTTGCATGGGGTCGACGATGCATTGCTGCTTGTGTATACTGTGCCGGGGTGCTCGGTGGTCGATAATGATAATGGTTCGATACCGACACATGAGGCACAGGAAACTTGTTTTCTTGTTTTCATCGACCCCGATGAGCTCCATAGAAGTCAACACTACTTGTGCGGTGACATTGCAAGCATAATTTGACCGACTCCGCTACCTGTCGTCCGTCCTTCCTCTCCTTCTTATCCCCACTGTCAGCAGGACAGGCCACGTAAAAGTGGAGCGATGCTGATGGCTCACCAGCGCTATCCCAACAGTCAGAAGTCAGTCTGTCCACAGCTCAGCGCGCTGTGTGCGGTCCCGGCATTGCGCGTGGCCACTGAGGTTTCACTGGCAACAGCAGCGACGCGGGCCGACCGCCCGCCGCGCCAGCCACTCGCTGCGTTGAAGTCGCGGTGAGACCGAGTGAAAGACATAGCTTATGCCCCGAAGCGGCCACAAGGGTTGATCAAGTCCTTGCCGGCATGCGTACCTACCAGTCTGCGTTTACTGAACGTAAACATGGAAATAAACAGGGAGCTGCAGGGTGGAGTCGTGGTATGTTGTCTGACCCTGGATTGTCGAGGAGTTTTTCGCCCAAGGGACGAACATTAACCCTCGCAATTAAAACTAATACAGGGATATTCCCAACCCGGCACAGATTCTACCTATCCAAAGACAGGGCCTCCTGTTCCATAAGAGGCCTTTTGGTGCAACGATAAGCTTCCTGATTCAGACGGGAATCGGAATCCTTCAGATTCACAAAGCGGGGCTCCAAATCCGACAAAAAGCTTCATGTTCTCAAAGCAGGGCATTCCTATCCAGAGAAGCGGACTTCTGACGCTTAAAAACGGCCCCCCTGGCCCAGAATAGTGGCCTCCTTGATATGAAGAAGGTGCCCCTTATCTAGAACAGGGGACTCCTAGTACATTGCAAGACATCCCAAGCCAACTAATGGGCCTTCTAAGGCAACAAAGTAGCCTCCTTAATACAAATTGGGTCTCCTGATAAAAAACGGGCCCCTTCATGCAGGAATTGTTCCTCTGAGCCCAAGTTAGTACCCTCTAGCTCAGTTATGGGGGCCTTCGTGATCGGAATTTTGGTAAGGTGTAGCTAAGAAACCTTCAGTTTGCGCAAAAAGAGCCTCCAGAAATTTTGGGTGGGCAAAGCGTTTTCTTGCCTCCGCTACCAACCGGCAATGGAGGTGGGCATGTGTCCCCTTTACCGCCCCCCCCCCCATCCCCCTCCCCCCCCCCTGCTGCGCCGCCCCTGACAAGTACTCACGTGCTGTGGCGGCGAAGTCCAGGTGTGGCGACGGCCGTCTCGCTGCTGCCGAATGCCTCGCAGGTAGCGCTAACAGCGCACTCCAGCTCGCGGGGCGCAGCACGTGCTGCAGTGCCGGTCAGCCGCGCTAAAACGGCGGAGGGTGCGCCGCCCTTGAGCGCGCAGAGACGGCCGTTCTCACCGCACGTCGTCGCCGGCAAGCGACCGATCGGTCTGGTTGGTTCGCAAGCTGTTCGGCAGATGGCTCTGCTGCAATATTGCATGCCGTTGCAGCAACAGGCAGCAGGTCAAGGCGTGACGAAGCAGCAGAAAGCGCATGATTGCATGACACGGCACTTACAACCGTTCTACTCGATGGTAGAAATCAATGCCACTATAGAAGTGTCTGAATATGATGAGAAAATGTTAACTAGCAGAGAAACAACATTTGGGTACTCAAACGGACTGGAATTGGTACGTTATCAGTAGCAATGGAGGCACTGAAGTAGTGCCTGGGCTGACATAGTAAGCAGCTAACTAATACATGGTACGCAGCTGACTATTACATGGCACTCAGCCGACGCCAGGTATTAATGGCTCGATCGAGAGATTGCATCGGCGATGTCTCGGACCTCTGTTCAATATCTAACAGTGGTGCAACAAACACGTTTTGAACCGTGTTCTCCACTTGACGCCAAATTTGCAACTTTGCTCATACAACTGGTACTAAAAGACTATGATAGCGTAATTGGTTGTGTTTGTGATTGTTTATGGCCGCAGCACGACAAAACAAACCACAAAAAACAACTAAGCAATACAGGAAGTTGAAATTTGGCACGCAATTTGGTATCTAGCACTCAGACATTTGTAGCGCAGTAGCTACAAAATAGGTCGTTAACTGGTACCAAAAACGTGTGTTCTACGCGCGAATATTGCGGTAGTTCTGCGATGACAGGGACGATTGGGACCTTGGGCGATTTATAACAGGGTAAGTGATGGGTGACCGACGCATCCCAGGCTTACACTCACCACTCACCTGAAAGTTGAATTTGGCTGCGAGAATGTCACAGAACTTAGTGTACGCTGTACAGTGGCGTAACCAGGATTTCACCCAAGAATGCCTTAATGGTGGTATGGGCGGCTCTCCAGCCGAAAGGGCTCATTTCTTCGCTGAAGAGATTCGAAGGGTTTCGGAATGTAGGGCATTTTTAGCCTCACCATTTCATGTGAAACCTTTTGGGGGTATGTTCAATGTTTTGGATGCCCCATGGCTTGTTACTTATGAGTGGCATATGGGTGCCTTTGACTGTCAAGAAGTACTGGGCCTGGGGTCTGAGGGCTACTCTGCAAGAATTTCATCTATGCACCAAAACCTCCTGGTTGGTATCTTCCCTGGTTAGAGAACTCCACCTAGTGCACTTGTGTATCAAACACAGGCCGGATGTACTTGCACATAATTTTTCAAACCATTTGGGCTAGGAAAGTTGTTTGAGAGTAATTTTGCCTGAAATGGTCTGGGGACCATTGCAAGTCCTTGAAAACTGGCGCTGTAAAATGTGGGTGAATGGTGTTGCACTTCCAACTGCTTAACATGCTGAAGTGATCCGCTCTAGCTCCGATCCTCTCTACATCCATTGAGAGTGAAACAAAAACAAAAAAATTAATTTTAGTTGGCTTTGATATCTTCAGGTGGTAGGCTGTGAGCCCGCACACCAAGCTATTCACAAAACACTCCATAAGCACAGAATGTTAATAAGTATTGTGTTTTCACCAAAATATGTCACCAAATTAATTATTCCATGAAGCATCACCATAAAAGTGACATTAGATAAAAAAATGATTACCAGTCAGCATATGGTATGCTCACTGTACGCTCTTCGATATGCTATGCTGACCAGTTTACAAAGGCCAAGTGTGAAGTTGTGATAAATACATCATCTCTTTTCACAGATGGCTTTAGCTGGAATCAGAAACAGTCTGTGCAGACAGAGGGCCAGTGTCTGCTCACCAGACATTCCCTGGCCATACCTTGCCACACCTCTTCATAAGAGCATCAGGCAGGCCTCCTCAAAACGCTCTATTCCACGTTACCGGTTTGAGCTGGAGAACCGGCTACTGTATGGTGAGGTGCTTCGCCGGCCGGCCGGCCGCGCCACCACCACTGCCGCCGCTGGGGCCGATGCCCCTGACCGAGCAGCAGCAGCGGGGGACGCAGCACCGGCGACTGGCATCACTGTGGTCTCCCATTGTGGCTTCCTGGCCGGTCGGTCCGGCGTCACGGTTAGGTCTCCGGCGGCAGCGGCGGACGGCGGCCTCCGACGCCCTCCTGACCGCGCCACCGCCCAGCTACCTGTACCCAGAGGAGCAGCAGGAGGAGGAGCAGGGAGCCAGACCGGTGGAGCCGGCCAGCCGCCTGGTCAGCGTTACGCGCGTGCTGCAGGCCACGATGAGCGAGGAGAGTCGCGCCGCTCTGCGCCGCTGGGAACTGGCCATGGTGAAGAAGCACGGCGAAGACGGATTCGCCGAAATCAAACAAGGTTAGCTGGCCTTCGGAGACTCCGCACCAGGAATCTCCTCTACGTCGGTGAGCAGCCGTTGGTTGTGGTTTGGTTTTAGTCTCGATAGGACGCTACGAAGTGAATGTGGCTGACGTGTCATTTATTGGTTAAATCTGAGTTGTTTACATGTCATGTGGCCCCACTAGTTCTTTTTGCGAATTGATTTATCCTCCATGCTGTTGTCACTAGAAGTCTACGCAAGTGGTGTCACTATCAATCAGTGGAATCAGCACCCCGTTCGAAATGAAGGCAAAGCCGACATGCCCTGCTCACACCCGCCCGGGCCGGCCCTCCGCTGCCCCGCCAGCCATGCTAGAGACGGGACGGGAGTGGCACGCGGCCCTGCACGCCCACCTGACTGGCGAGGGCGAGGTGCGTCAGCTGACGCCGACGGCCGACGGCTTCTGGCGCAGCGTGCGTCCCGTGCTGGCGCTGGTCGACTCGGCCCGTGTGGCCGCCTCCGAGCGTGACGTCACACACAGCCCGCTCGGCTACCACGGCGTGGTCGACTGTGTGGCTCCCTTCAGGTGAACGACGGAGCGGCCGCACGCTGCGCGGTGTGTCCGGCGGCCTTCTGACGACCGTCATTGCGTTGGCGGGTGCTGTGGTCCATTGCGTTGGCGGGTGCTGTGGTCCATTGGCCCATTAGTCACTTGACGCCTGCCAAATTGTGCGTAATCCCATCTGTTGTAATCGCATGATGATCCCAATGTGACCCGTGATGAAGCAGGACGGGGCCAACTGAACACTGATGGGGCCGGTTAAGACCTCGTAGGTCTGTTGTCGGTCTCACGCCAACCACGCCCCGTCATCGTTGTAACTGATTTGTAAAGTGTCGGACATTTCGGTCAAAGTGTGGCAGTCGCGGAAGCTGGGCGTGGGAAGCGGATGTTCTCTAGGGAAATGAAACCATTGCATTTTATTTCCAGATTATTGGATTGGAACACTAAGATTTGTGTGCATTATGTTAATAACGTCAACATCCTGGTGCGGGCTAGGTGAAATGGGTAGCCGTGTCCTAATGTTACTGCTCCATTTCAGTAGACAGTTAAAATTGTCCGCATGCAATTTTTCACCTGCCAGCAGATCAGTAAAGACTGAAAGAAACGACATACCACTTTCAGGATATGATCGTTTTGATAAAACTGAAGAAGTATTTGGGGGAAAAAAATAAGTGTTCCTTCCTACGATACTTCGATTGACCGTCGGCTTAGTTTGAGTCTGTAAAAATCACATCACCCCGCTCGCCGAAATATTTGTACTGTGAGGCCGAAAATGTTCTGGCGGTCGGGAAACGGAAGTCAAATCCCACCCTGGCAGCTCGCGTGCCAGAAGCCGCGCTTTACGATTCGTCTTGACGGTCATCTGATGATAGGCCGACACAGCCCAGACGAGGATCAAACGTGGGGGAAATATGAGGGGGGGGGGGGGGCGGCGGCACCTCCATTTCAGCCCCACGGCCGTTTGTTGTCACGCCGCAGCCTCGGTAGTGTGTGGGGGGGGGGGGGGGCGGCAGCACCTCCATTTCAGCCCCACGGTCGTTTGTTGTCACGCCGCAGCCTCGGTAGTGTGGGGGGGGGGGGGGGGCGGCAGCACCTCCATTTCAGCCCCACGGTCGTTTGTTGTCACGCCGCAGCCTCGGTAGTGTGGGGGGGGGGGGGGGCGGCACCACCTCCATTTCAGCCCCACGGCCGTTTGTTGTCACGCCGCAGCCTCGGTAGTGTGGGGGGGGGGGGGCGGCAGCACCTCCATTTCAGCCCCACGGCCGTTTGTTGTCACGCCGCAGCCTCGGTAGTGTGGGGGGGGGGGGGGGGCGGCAGCACTTCCATTTCAGCCCCACGGCCGTTTGTTGTCACGCCGCAGCCTCGGTAGTGTGCTGACGGTAGAGTATTTCTGCTGAAATCCGTCAGCAAAAAAAGATGAATAAATAAAAGAAAACGTTTCGTTGGGATAGCTCTGCAACAGCTGACGTGCAGGTTATCGAGTAACCTATGCTTGGCAGGAGCCCTGATCCTGCGAAGCCACTGCTGCAAAATACGCGGTCAAATTTCTCACAAAAAAACTACCGCAGGGTCCGTGATCCAGAGATGGATGAAAAATATAATTCAACACAATTCCGATCCAGATGTGTTTGTCGATCAGAAACCGAAGGTGTGGGGATGGGGGACCTGTCGGAGGCACAGTGCTGTGTGAATCATCTTCGGCAGTCAGTTGGCAACTGAGTGAGACAGGACCGAAACAAAAGTGAAACATGGACGACGCTTAGGCTGAAGCAAGGAAGCGCGTCATGACAGTATAGTTTTCCAGTGAAAATCTTTCCGCAAAAACTTGTCCGTTGACATGAAATCGCTCCACGAAGCGGCAATGTCTTTGCGGTATCCCGCGATTGGCCAGGAATCCTCATCAAAGCCATTCTTCTAAAACGCTCGTTTAAATTTCCAATGGGACGCATTTCAGTGCCGAGTGCAGTGACGGTCCCCCGCTGCCTTACTGGTGTGAGGTCCCATCAGCTGCCTCATCTTCCCCACGTGAGGCTCTTTAATGGCCTGACGTGTTCACTGCAGTTTGAATTATGCTTTCGCGCCAGCCCTATGCTTTTTGTTAGTCGATGCCCTGCCACATGTCACATGATGACCTGGCCTGCGAGTCGTGTCAAGTGGCGATCTGATATCAGTTTCATGCCAAATGGTGACTTGTCATATGGCTCAGGTCAGATGGTGGATTGACCTCAGCCACAGTTCCGTCGGTGACCCATCCCCAGTTTCAGTTCAAGTGGTGACCTTATTTCACAGGTTAAATGTTGATCTGACCTCTCTCAGGCCATACAGTTGCAAGACCGCTGCCTCCGGTCCATGGCCACCGGACCCGGGCTCAATACGACAAGGCCAACGGACCTGACCTTGTGGGTCAGGCGGTGCTAACTTAATTCCTGCTCTAGGTCGTCTCCGATGGTGATCGAGTGGAAGACTGCCAGTCGACCCAAGCACCGTGTCGAGGATCTGTACGACAACCCCCTGCAGGCGGCCGCCTATCTCGGCGCGTACAACCACATGCATAGGAGGGCGCAGGTGCGTGAGAGTGGCCCATCTGGCCGTAGCAGCTGATTTTTATGGAAGCTGGGTCCCGCTGTCGGCCTCACGTTATTACAGGACCGACGGTGGCCTTATTTATAGCGGGCGTCCACATCCTTACCGATAGTTTGCATGTCCGCTAGATGCGCTTCCGGTTTCGCTGTTCCCTGTGGTTGTCGCGGCCTGCTGTTGGTGTGGAAGACCGCGGTCGCTCGGGTTCGTTTACCACGTCCCGTTTTCATAACCTGTTATGACTCTGACGGTTAAGGATACCGCAGCATTACCGGAGGATTTGTGCACGTGGTGAACCACGCTTCCGCATTGGGCACTTCCCTGCCGTACTCGGCGGGTCACACAACCTGAGCGGGGGAGGGGGGTCGGTACCACCATGTCGTTGGTGACCGCAGTGTGCACTCAGGCCGCTGGCCCCAGCTTGTGTCAGTGGTCTCAGTGTTTCCCATTTGATGACCGCAACGGCTGTCTTAGTCGGTGACATCAGCGCTCGTCCCGGCTGCTGACCTCAGGGCCCGCCTCTGTGTGCCCCAGCGTCTGACCCCAGCGTGTGACCCGTGTGTGCTACGGCCGCTGACCTTACCGCATGCCCCTGGCTGCCGTTCTAGGTGCAGCGGGCGGCCGTGGTCGTGGCCTACGGGTCGGGCCGGCCGGCCACCGTGCACGTGCTGTCGCCGCCTGCCTGCCGACAGTACTGGGCGGCCTGGCTGCGTCGGCTGCTGCTGTACAGGCAGACGGTGGGCGTGTTGTGACGGGCCGGGTCACCCGGGCTGCGTCCGGCCCCGTCCGGGCCAGCGGGCCGGCTGCTGCTGTACAGGCAGACGGTGGGCGTGTTGTGACGGGCCGGGTCACCCGGGCTGCGTCCGGCCCCGTCCGGGCCAGCGGGCCGGCTGCTGCTGTACGGGCAGACGGTGGGCGTGTTGTGACGGGCCGCGTCACCCATGCTGCGTCCGGCCCTGTCCGGGCCAGCGGGCCGGCTGCTGCTGTACGGGCAGACGGTGGGCGTGTTGTGACGGGCCGGGTCACCCACGCTGCGTCCGGCCCCGTCCGGGCCAGCGGGCCGGCTGCTGCTGTACCGGCAGACGGTGGGCGTGCTGTGACAGGCCGGGTCATCCGCGCTGCGTCCGGCCCTGTCCGGGCCAGCGGGCCGGCTGCTGCTGTACCGGCAAACGGTGGGCGTGCTGTGACAGGCCGGGTCATCCGCGCTGCGTCCGGCCCTGTCCGGGCCAGCGGGCCAGCTGCTGCTGTACCGGCAAACGGTGGGCGTGTTGTGACGGACCGGGTCACCCGGGCTGCGTCCGGCCCTGTCCGGGCCAGCGGGTCGGCTGCTGCTGTACAGGCAGACGGTGGGCGTGTTGTGACGGGCCGGGTCATCCGCGCTGCGTCCGGCCCCGTCCGAGTCATGGGGCCAGCTGCTGCTGTACGGGCAGACGGTGGGCGTGTTGTGACGGGCCGGGTCACCCATGCTGCGTCTGGCCCCGTCCGGGTCATGGGGTCGGCTCGGCGGAGGTTCGTACTGGCTTGGCGGTGAAACGCTCTGAGCTGTGAACGGGTCGGTCTTGTGTTTATTGTGGTCGCGGAATACAAGTCGTTTTAGGACGTGGATGTTTTATTGGGGATTTAGGTCTTTGAGGCGATTGAGTTCAGCTGCAATGTGAATCTGTCCGGCAGACGTAACATCACACGCTTGGTAACGCATCATTCGGACGAGCCCAAGAAATCGTAGGACTCGTGGTGTCTGGTCATGAGTGAAACATGCGGGCATCAAGACCTTTAACAGCGAACAGCTCGACCCCACATCTCGAGCAGTATTTTGTGAGTACCGTGGGAGTCCTCGAGGCCTCAGCGAGCGAATGCCGGAAACACGTGGTACTGACTACGTATGCAGTCCTTGACTCACCAGAATCAAACCCTGAGGTAACCAGTGTGGGCCTGACTAATTCGGCGAACCGAAGGAGACGGGCCAACGAGTGGTTCGTAAAAGTTAAAAATGGCGCTGACCTGCATATCAGCGTCGCTGCCTGTGAACGGCACGCTGACAATGACTGTATCAGCACCACACGCTACAACTTGTACTAGCGTATTAACGACGGCGGACAACCGGATCCTCCACTGGCCGTCTGGTGCCCGACAACTGCAGACGCTTATCGACAGCCGATACATAATGGTGGTTCATGGTTCATGGGCGGTGTTGGAACTGTCCGACTCTGGTGCCTCAACAACGGGCTCCTCCGCCTGGCCCTGGACCCGCCTGACGTCATTAGCCCCGCTGGCTCGGTGAGGCAGCGGACAGACGAGTCGCTCATGTGACGCTTCCCGTCCGTCTCAGGCAGAGGACAGGTCAGTGACGTTACTCGTCCTGCTCGGGCACTGGGAGGCAAATGACGTCACTCGACCTGCTCGGACGGTAGACGGGCAAGTGACGTCACTCGTCCTGCTCGGGCAGCGGGCAGATGGGCTGCTCGATGTCCACCTGGACCTTGCCGAATGGCCTCATATTGACGGCAGCCTGCACCATGCGGACGAGCTTGCGCCGCTCCAGGTCGAGGCCCGTCATAGTCTTGTGGACGGGCTGCAGGGAGTGGTCGGCCGCTTGCGAGGAGGCCAGCAGAGCCGCGCGCAACTGCCAGTCCCGGTCCATAGAGGCCTGCCGCGCGAGCGGACGTCAGCCCACGAGAGCGAGAGCGACGCAGTCAGGCCAGCCGGGGTCGGCACGGGCAGTACGCCACAGACAGTCAGGTCAGCCGGGGTCAGCACGGGCAGCACGCCACAGACAGTCAGGTCAGCCGGGGTCAACACGGGCAGCACGTCACAGACGGTCAGGTCAGCCGGGGTCAGCACGGGCAGCACGCCACGGACAGTCAGGTCTGCCGAGGTCAGCACGGGCAGTACGCCACAGACAGTCAGGTCAGCCGGGGTCAGCGTGAGCAGTATGCCACATACAGTCGGATCAGCCGGGGTCAGCGTGAGCAGTATGCCACAAACAGTCAGGTCAGCCGAGGTCAGCACGGGCAGTATGCCACAGACAGTAAGGTCAGCCGGGGTCAGCACGGGCAGTACGTCACAGCCAGAGTCGGTGGTCGTCACTGTTGAACCGGAGATGATAGCACCAGACAATGGTGGCCGCTTCGAAAAAGGGTTCATCAGAGGCAAAATGTGATAACCACGGGGAGGGTAAACATGGTCCACATAGGAACACTGGGAGCAGATTTGAAGTATGATAACCACTTGGCAGGACCCAACATGGCTCACATAGGGACACTGAGAATGGCAGCATTTGGCAGACAACACATGTATGAACATAGACACGGCAAAGGGCTACGCAGATTCGATATGTGCAAGATCCCCCCAGCATCTTAGCTTCGCTTACTGGTAAAACGCGTCGCTCTGAGTATTCGAGCTGTTGCGGAGCAACTTACAGCGTGTTTCTGATTATGAAGTTCGGTAAGATGTTTCAGCTCCTTCTCGGCCCGGGCTATCGCATTAGTACTGTACTCCACGTCCTTCAGTACTGCCAACTCCATCTTGTCGTAAATGTTCTTCATCTCATTTTTCATTCTATCGAAAATGAAACATTTAACAGCCGAAAAATCATCATTTTACTTCACGGCTGTTGTCTCCACCACCACTGTGACTTAGGTGATTTGATTACTTTGATCGGTGAGCTAATGAGCCGCTGAGCTCGCAGTAGTGGCTCTCGCGATGCAGGCCCGAGGTGACAGCCTTGCAAGATCACGAACGGCCCCTCCCCTCCCCTCCTCTCCCCTCCCCTCCCCTCCCCTCCCCTCCCCTCCCCTCCCTCCCCTCCCCCTCCCCTCCCCTCCCTTCCCCTCCCATCCCCGCCCCTCCCCTCCCCTCCTTTCACACTCACCGCGCGATCTCGATCTGGTAGCCGCCGTTGCAAAGCGCCACCTGGCGGCACCAGGTGCGCAGCCGCGTGATGAGCTGCTCCTGCTCCAGCTGCTCGGCCGACAGGCGGCGGGTGAGCTCGCTGAAGGACGCCTGCAACGTCTGCAGCCAGCGGTTCCGCTCCGCCTGCCGCCGCACGCCACGATTTGTGTCCACCGTCACGTGCATTGAAGCGCACGTGCGGGTGCTGTACTTGTGCTGACGTAAAATGCGAAAACGCGTGAAGAAGTCTTCGGAAAATGAGTACTTATGTCGCCATCTACAGACAGGATTGCCCGGTGGGCTTTAAGAGCTTTCCGATACAGTCGATCATTGATGCAGTGCGCATTGTTTCGCAGCTGAACATTACACAGCAGTGACAACGTAGTCGTGAGCGAACCCCACCCACAAGGCCTGGTTGTCTCTGACGTCACTCTCTGAACTATCTTACGATATCGCGCGCCTGCTCCCGCTTCAACTTCTGCAGGTCGACGGCCGTCTGAAGCTGCTGCCCATGCTGCTGTCGCATGTCTGCCGCGTGCAGGAAGGCGGGGTCAGTCCACACGCGTTAGACTCAGCCACATCACACTCCTCTCCACGGTCTGTCTGTCACGAACCGGTGACCGGTGCCAGCTCCCCTCCTCTCCCCGTCTTCTCCCCGCGGTCTGTCTGTCACGGACCAAAGGCAGGTGCCAGCCCCCCCCCCCCTCTGCGGTCTGTCTGCCCCGGACCAGTGGCAGGTGCCAGCTCCCCTCCTCTGCGGACGGTCTGCCCACCAGTGACCAGTGGCAGGTGCCAGCTCCCCTCCTCTCCAGGCGGTCTGCCCACCACGGACCAGTGACAGGTTCCAGCTCCCTTCCTCTGCGGGCGGTCTGTCCACCACGAACCAGTGGCAGGTGCCAGCTCCCCTCCTCTCCGGGCGGTCTGCCCACCACGGACCAGTGACAGGTTCCAGCTCCCTTCCTCTGCGGGCGGTCTGTCCACCACGGACCAGTGGCAGGTGCCAGCTCCCCTCCTCTCCGGGCGGTCCGTCCACCACGGACCAGTGGCAGGTGCCAGCTCCCCTCCTCTCCGGACGGTCTGCCCACCACAGACCAGTGGCAGGTGCCAGATCCCCTCCTCTCCGGGCGGTCTGTCCACCACGGACCAGTGGCAGGTGCCAGCTCCCCTCCTCTCCGGGCGGTCTGTCCACCACGGACCAGTGCAGGTTGCAGCTCCCTCCTCTGCGGGCGGTTCGCCACAAGGACCAGGGCAGGTGCCGATCCCCTCCTCTCTGCGGGTGTTGTCTGCCACGGACCAGTTGCAGGTGCCAGTCAGCTCCGTCTCAGGGCGGTCTGCTGCCCCAGGACCAGTGGCAGTGCCAGCTCCCCTCCTCTCCGGGCGGTCTGTCCATCAGTGACCAGTGGCAGGTGCCAGCTCCCCTCCCCTCTGCGGTCTGTCTGCCACGGACCAGTGGCAGGTGCCAGCTCCCCTCCTCTCTGCGGTCTGTCTGCCACGGACCAGTGGCAGGTGCCATCTCCCCTCCTCTCCGGGCGGTCTGCCCACCACGGGCCAGTGGTAGGTGCCAGCTCCCCTCCTCTCCGAGCGGTCTGCCCACCACGGACCAGTGGCAGGTGCCAGCTCCCCTCCTCTCCGGGCAGTCTGCCCACCACGGACTGGTGGCAGGTGCCAGCTCCCCTCCTCTCCGGGCGGTCTGTCCGCCACGGACCAGTGGCAGGTGCCAGCTCCCCTCCTCTGCGGGCGGTCTGCCCCCACGGACCAGTGGCAAGTGCCAGCTCCCCTCCTCTCCGGGCGGTCTGTCCGCCACGGACCAGTGGCAGGTGCCAGCTCCCCTCCTCTGCGGGCGGTCTGCCCCTACGGACCAGTGGCAGGTGCCAGCTCCCCTCCTCTCCGGGCGGTCTGTCCGCCACGGACCAGTGGCAGGTGCCATCTCCCCTCCTCTCCTGGCCAGTTAGTGTCATCGTCTGGCACAGCGTCTCACCGTCCACTTCCTGCTGCAGCGCGGCCGCCTCGCGTCCCCGGACGGCCGTCTCCGTCTTCTGCTGGGTCAGCCTCTTTGCCAACCGACCACGCAGCGCGTGCATCTCGTCCGACTGCGCTGCCAGCTCGGCCAGCTGCGCCTGGGGTGAGACCGATGAGAGGTCAGGCCGAGGGACAAGTCATGAAGACTGGCCAGGACTGGGGTCACGTGGCGACCAGTGAGAGGTCAGGACCGGAGCGCACATGATTCACCGGTGACCCTGTGTGACCCCGTATCAGGGCACAGGACCACGGGGCACATAACAGGGGTTCAGCCCAGGCAGACAAGCCTGTGTCGTCTACAATCTGCTGCAGCGCTGGGGGGGGGGGGGGAGGGCGACTGGTTGCTCTGCCGACCCAGTCCGTCGCCCGCCGTACCCTGATCTGCTGCAGAGCCGGCTTGCTGCCGTCCTTGATCTCGGCCACCACGACATTGAGATGGTCTAGCACGTTCGCTTCCTCCTCCGTGTTCTCCGAGAGCGCCTGCTGCACCTCCACCGCACGCTCCAGCTGACGGCGGTGCCAGCGCCAGGTCAGCCGAGGTCAGGTCAGAGCAGAGAGCAACGATTTGGGTTCAGACAGCTGAACGAACAACCAAAGATTTGAGCAGATAAATAGCAAAATGGCACGAATGTCGATGCCGACGGAGGCCAATGCCTCCGAATTCACCCCACGCGTTTCGTAGCGATCCATTTCCGACGTCGAGATGCGCACAGCTCACAGGAGTCATTCTCCTAGAGTTCGGTTTGCGGACCCGGCGGCCAGCTCTGGTCTGCAGACCCGAGGCTCCGCTCACTACTGGTCTGCCACCCGGGGCTCCGTTCACCCCTGGTCTGCAGACCCGGGGCTCCGTTTACTCCTGGTCTGCAGACCCGGGGCTCCGCTCACCCCTGGTCTGCAGACCCGGCGGCTCTGCCCACCTCTGGTCTGCAGGCCCGGCGGCTCAACTCACCCCTGGTCTACAGGCCCGGAGGCTCCGCTCACCCCTGGTCTGCAGACCCGGCGGCCAGCTCTGGTCTGCAGACCCGGCGGCTCCACTCACCCCTGGTCTGCAGGCCCGGAGGCTCCGCTCACCCCTGGTCTGCAGGCCCGGAGGCTCCGTTCACCCCTGGTATGCAAACCCGGCGTCCAGCCCTGGTCTGCATACCCGGCGGCTCCACTCTCACCTCTGCGTGCGTCTCAGAGACGATCCGCTTCGTCTCCTCGCCTCGAGCAGTCAGCTCCTGCTCCATCGCCTGGATCTTTTCCCGGACCTGGTCCAGGTCGGCTTGAACTTGTCCGTGTCTGGGAACATGACAACGCATGCACATGGCGTGTGTCTGCAAGACAAGTGCGTTACGCCCAACGTCTTCAAAAATGCAACAGCACGCGGTTCTCGTAACAATGGCCTGTGATTTACCATATATGGAAACTTTTCTTATCGTTGGGAATGGCGATAACATCTGGTGCATACATGTCTCAATTTCAAATTCACGCTTTGAGCTCTGGTATCCTACTAAATAATATGGTGACAGCTTATCGCCCCCCCCCCCCCCCCCCCCCGGCAGCAGACCTCCGCATCTCGGGACGTGTCCCCGCGTCCTGTCTTTGAATTGTGGACATTCTGATTCATGTGGTTTTCAAACACCCGAATTTGAATTAAACAACGGAGTAATGCGACTGGAAAGCGTATGCCTCAAACACGCCCCTCACGCTGCCGCCGACAGGCCAGGTCCGTGTTGTTTCCCACTCTGTGTGACCGGCCACCCCCGACCCCGGATCTCACACGTCCTGGATCTCGGCCCACTTCTCCCGCGACGCCTCCAGCAAATCGTCAGCCATCTCCATCTGCTCCTTCAGCACACTCATCACCGTCCTGAGAAAAAGATCAGACACAGAGTGATCCTCAGCTGGGATATAGGGCTGCCACAGTACCGGGAAGGAGAGCAGATGAGGCGTGGCAAGCATGCTGGACGCACGCTGCGAATTGCCTTTGGTACAAGGTATAACCTAACTTGAAATGCGAGAATGCCTGCAGAGCTCTGAATGGCAGTAAACTGACAATCGATGGGATCCAAGAAGCAGGGATAACCACCACAAAGTTATGACTCACGGATACAGACGAGCAAAACGAAGCCAAAATGCAGAGAAAAGAAATGCCAAGAAATATTGATAACTATTCTCATTGTTGATAGACTATTCTGCTCGCTGTCGTTTCGCGCAACAGCTGGCACTTAACGGCGCTGTCATGTGCGCTCTCTTCCAAGTCTGATTCATCAGTAAGCCACTTTAAAGAAAGCGGCGAATCATGCCATCCTAAACAGGTGAACATGAGGACCTCATCATGACTACATTTGCATCACAAATCAACAGTTCACCGCACTCTTCGAACATCCTGCGGGGCATGAAGCCGCCTGACGCCGACCACGGATCACCACCAGCGATAGCAGAACCTGGGGTAGGTCGAGGAGTGTCGCGCCCATCGCTGTCACCCGCCGGTGTCACACCCACTGGCGGACAGGTCGAGGAGTGTCGCGCGCATCGCTGCCACCCGCCGGCGTCACACTCACTCGCGGACAGGTCGAGGAGCGTCGCGCCCATCGCTGCCACCCGCCGGCGTCACTCCCACTCGCGGACAGGTCGAGGAGCGTCGCGCCCATCGCTGCCACCCGCCGGCGTCACACTCACTCGCGGACAGGTCGAGGAGCGTCGCGCCCATCGCTGCCACCCGCCGGCGCCACTCCCACTCGCGGACAGGTCGAGGAGCGTCGCGCGCATCGCTGCCACCCGCCGGCGCCACTCCCACTCGCGAACATGTCGAGGAGCGTCGCGCCCATCGCTGCCACCCGCCGGCGTCACACTCACTCGCGGACAGGTCGAGGAGCGTCGCGCCCATCGCTGCCACCCGCCGGCGCCACTCCCACTCGCGGACAGGTCGAGGAGCGTCGCGCGCACCGCTGCCACCCGCCGGCGCCACTCCCACTCGCGGACAGGTCGAGGAGCGTCGCGCCCATCGCTGCCACCCGCCGGCGTCACACTCACTCGCGGACAGGTCGAGGAGCGTCGCGCCCATCGCTGCCACCCGCCGGCGCCACTCCCACTCGCGGACAGGTCGAGGAGCGTCGCGCGCATCGCTGCCACCCGCCGGCGTCACACTCACTCGCGGACAGGTCGAGGAGCGTCGCGCCCATCGCTGCCACCCGCCGGCGTCACACTCACTCGCGGACAGGTCGAGGAGCGTCGCGCCCATCGCTGCCACCCGCCGGCGCCACTCCCACTCGCGGACAGGTCGAGGAGCGTCGCGCCCATCGCTGCCACCCGCCGGTGTCACACTCACTCGCGGACAGGTCGAGGAGCGTCGCGCGCATCGCTGCCACCCGCCGGCGTCACTCCCACTCGCGGACAGGTCGAGGAGCGTCGCGCCCATCGCTGCCACCCGCCGGCGCCACTCCCACTCGCGGACAGGTCGAGGAGCGTCGCGCCCATCGCTGCCACCCGCCGGCGTCACACTCACTCGCGGTCGCCGTCGATGTTAGCCAGGTCGATGTGGGCATCGTTGACCGTCTCCAGAAACTCGGTCATCTCGGCGTGCACCCAGTCGCGCTGTGACGTCATCGAGTGACGTCTGCGACGCAGCTCGTGGTACCGGCGGCGACTCTGACGTTCGCGCTCGGTCGTCACCTCCAACTCTGCCGCCGGAGGCGTGGCGTCAGACGCAGGGGTTAGTCAGGGACGGGGGGGGGGGGGTTGTTGGTGACCGCATCTGATGACGTGTTCCCGTCCCAAAAAAGTTATCTGCGCATTTGTCGCATCGCGTAATTGCCGTTGAGGTAAGCTGACTCCTGCACAAACAATCTTTCACTGTTAACAACGAAGCCCCAACCAGCAAAGCTGGGGCGATACGTTTGCCGCTGAGCATTTCAAAGAAAAGGACCTAAAATTAAATCAGCTGTGTTTTTGTTGGCAGCATCTCTGTTGTGCTCGTTGATCGCCAGTTGCAAAAGTCCAAAGTGCAAACAAGCGCCACAGTACACACATGCTGTGACAGCTTCAGCTTTGACTCTTCAAGGCCTGGGCGAGCGCGCGCTCGTTCCTGGACATTTCATCGAAGACTCAATCAAGTAAGACATCTCATCGACATGCTACTACAAGTATGTCCAGATGCGGAGCCAGGAGCCCACTGAGTATGTACTAAGCAGGGGGTGGTCCTGACAGCGTATGTGCTACGTAGTGTTCCGGGAGAGAAGGTGGCGGGGGAGGGGTGCTGACCTTTTTCAAGGGTCTGCAACTCCTGCAGGAGCGGGCTGATGTCCACCTCAGCTGCCTCCGCCTCCATCTCAAGCTAAGCACCGACAGCGGAGGTCAACACCAGCAATGTCTTACAACTCACTCTGCGAGCGTCAGCAATGTCTCACAGGTCACTTTGTGAACGTCAGCAATGTCTCACAGGTCACTTTGTGAGCGTCAGCTATATCTTACATGCCGCCAGCTATTTTGTCAACGTTTTCAAGGTGCGATAAGTTCACACACTTGTAGCTCACGTTTCCAAACAATTTAATTTTGCCTATGCGGCATGACTCAGCAACAGAAGCGTTTCAATTTGCGCGCAACTAAAAAACATTATCTTCTACTACTATTCGTCAAACCACCTCTATTAAACCCCGCGACCACCTCCCCCGCCCCGAGATAAGCTGGGTAAATATTACCGCCTACAAAAACGCATGTTCACTTCCACTGCCAACGCTTTACCTTCGCGTAATACGCTCCATTAAATATGATCTTCCTTGAAACGTTTAAGGCAACGACAACAGCCAAAACAAAACGAACCGAAGTAGCCGCAAAGGCCACGCCCCTCGGCATATCTCGGGATAGCCGCCTGCAGCGTCTCCACCCCCTCACGGACTATCGGAGACGGCGGCATTGGCGGCGTACCTGCTCTAGTCGGTGCTCGTCCAGCAGGTCCTGCACCCGTCGCACCTCTGTGCGCATTGTCTGCACGTGCTCGCTCACACCGGACCGGTGGCGCACCAGCGTCCCGTGCGACCTGCGGACAGGCCGGCGTCACCGGGCTGGCCGAGCGGGGCGCAGCACGGCGACCAGGCCGGCGTCACCGAGCGGGCCGAGCGGGGCGCAGCACGGCGACCAGGCCGGCGTCACCGAGCGGGCTGAGCGGAGCGGGGCGAGGCGCTGAGGCCGGCGTCACCGAGCGGGCTGAGCGGAGCGGGGCGAGGCGCTGAGGCCAGCGTCACCGAGCGGGCTGAGCGGAGCGGGGCGAGGCGCTGAGGCCGGCGTGGACCGGGCTCCGAACGTCAGGCTGACGCACCGCATCCGACAAACGGCAGCTATCGACGACGTCGGGCCGGGGCAGCCCTGGACAACGGAGGGTGGCGTGAACGACAGCAGACACACACTGCACTAGATCATGGCTCATATGGGAACACACACGGTGATCGACTGGGGCTGCGTCGACCTCGCTCGCCTGCGCGCCAGCCCGGCTGCGTGCATGGGGCACGTGCCTGGTGCGGTCCTCCATGCTCTGCTCGGCGTCGGTCTGGAGCACCTCCAGGCGGCGCAGCTCAACCACGACGTGATCGGTGCGCTGGCGCAGGCGCCGCTCCAGCTGCACCGCCTTGTTCTTGCGCAGCACATGGCGCTTCCGCTCACTGCACCAGCCGGCCGGGCAGAGAAGACGCCGCGGGGTGACGGAGGGAAATGGGGTGGCGGAGGGACACGGGTAGCGAAGGGACACGGGGTGGCGGAGGGACACGGGTGCCGAAGGGACATAGGATGACGGAGGGACACGAAGCGGCGGGAGGGGACGGGGTGACATAGGGGCACGGGTTGACAGGAGACACATATTACATACGGTTGACAGGAGTCACGGGTGGCAGGAGTAACTGGCTGACTGACGGCAGAGCCAGCAGCGAAGTGGTCATGGGGAGGAAGACGCGTACATACTTTTCTACATTCCTTCTCCGATATCGTTGCTAATCTCAGAAGTCGTAGCGAGCTGCATTGTGAAGTTTACTAGTTATGGCCAAATGAACAAAGGTGACCCGTACGATTTTTGCGAGGATACATAGTTCACGAACACTGTTTGCTTTAGATTCTTCAGATCCTATTTAGTTATTTATTTACCTTCCTTTCAAGACAAATGGCATCGGTACACACTACCCCACGCTGACCCATCTACGCAAAAAACTACCCTCGCTGTATAGTGTGTCAAATCCAGTGAGCGGCTAAACACCAGCCAAACGCTTTGATAATTAACCGGGAAAGTAAAATGTGTCTGTGTAAACGGCCTTTATCATCACACATTTTTGGAGAGTTGTGGAACAGCTTGTTCATGTTTACCTTTTGATTTTCTCAATTTTGTTTTTAGTTTGCGTAACCACGTCCTGAAGGTGAATGATTTGCACTTCCGAATCCTGCACAAACTGCTCCTCCAGCAGCTGCTCCAGTGACGCGGCCCGTATCATCTGCACTATGCTGTGGCGCATCTTCACTGTCTGTCGGCCAACTGTCGGTCATCCACGAGCGACTACTGTCGTTTCCTTCAGATCAACAGCCGTGATCACACTGAGCGCTTTGGCTTTGGCTGGGTTAGTTCAATGTCATCATTCAGTTCACAGGAAAGCTACTGAAGACATTCACAAGTACTGCTGTACATACCGGAACAACCATATATAAATCTAAACACCCATGACAAATAACCTCTCGTCCATTAGTTCAAAAACAATATTGATGAAGTGTTACAGGTAGTTGAAGCAATCGCAAATACAGTTCGCTCAGGCAAATGCTAAATGAAACATGGTTTGAGTCGACATTCTGCTGGCGATCGCAGTTCTTACCCCTCTTCGATCAACCTACGCAATGCCACTGGTGTTATAATACCGGCAGGACTAAGACACCCATCTACTAAAGCGGACGCGGCTTACACCAGGACTAGTCCACTTCCCTCCAGCAGTCAGGGACACCTACTGCAGTCTCTAAATTCCTCCACGCCTGAGAAATATCCAGTATTTGTAAGCATCCCCCCCCCCTGCGTCAGCCGTGGACGCCCGGATCTCTGTCCTCGCCTGCACTCTAGTCCAGGTCACGTACCGGGGCGGCGGAATACCGACCTCTGTCCTCATCTGCTCGCCCGCCTTAGACGTGTCGAGCAGCATGGTGCGGTACATGAGCAGTTCCTTCCGCTTCATTTCTGTCATGTTCAGCAGCTGGGCGTATGTGTTCTGCGTTCTGCTATGGCCCTCGCTGAGAAAGAGGCCCGACATGGGTCGCTACCGGGCGGGGTCAAGGTCGGACAGTGGTAACAACTGGACAGGGGTGGCACGCGTGCGGGGAGGGGTCACGCGTACGGGGGGGGCTGGGACAGGGGTCATAGTCAAGCTAGCAGAGGAGGGCCACGGTTTCAGTCGCGGGTGAGGGGGTCCGGACACGGGGTCCGACCGCCAACAGGGTGGGGGTTGGGCGGACGGGGTTAGACGTCAACATGTCAGTGTGTCCGGCACCGGGGGTCCGGACCAGCCACACAGAGGCCCCTGTATGCCGGGGTGGCGGACGACGGGTGTTCACGACCGGGAACGGTCACACATGGTCAGGGGTCCGGGCCACACGGGGGTCCGGACCGGCCACACAGAGGCCCCTGTATGCCAGGGTGGCGGACGGACGGGTGTTCACGACCGGGAACGGTCACACGTGGTCAGGGGTCCGGGCCACACGGGGGTCAAACCGTGACGACTGATGTAGATGGGGAGGGAGGGGGGAGATGGGGGCGTAAGCGCGGAGCGGCCCAGACAGAAGAAGCTGTGTGTGGTAGACGACGTCGGGGTTAGCGTTGCTGCGAACACAGTTGCATTAATTGGAGGAGCGATAAGTTTTTGAGGTGTTTGAAGCAAATTCGTATTCGTTTGGAAAGTCGGGCTCGTTATTTTGGAAACACAACAAAAAACAAATAAACTACATTTGCCGTCTTCGGAACTATTGATGCTGCAAGCGGTACAGCAACTATGACATGCACCATGCGGAGACCCCACCAGGGATTGATTTATGGTTGAGTTCACACGGAGTTGACGGGTTTTTTTCATTCAAAGGTTTAGCACCAAGGTCGAAAATGGCTAAATTACGGGACCTTGCAGTCATTTTCTAGCGCATATATTCGTACTTCAGCTTCTCGGCCTGGGCGACATAATAAGACAGCTTCTGGAGAAGTGTCATGTTGCTTTCGATCTGCTCGGACAGCAGCTCCATCGCGTCGCACCGCTGGGCTCTGACCTCCGACGCAGCCGTGTTCACCGTCTCTGCACGGAGAGGTGATAATGGGATGTCATGTACTCAGAAGCTAGATGTAATTAATCAGCGCGATCTGCAAGTTTCAATAGCCAGCTACTCTTCTCTGGCGCTCCCATTTTCATTTAAGGCGACTTTTATTCTCTGACAACTTATAAAATGTCTCCTCTGACGACTTTGTGCCACTCTGTCTCCTGCAACCCATCTCTCTTATGCCACATCTCATCGTTGACTATGTCAGGTGAATGGTAGCCGCCCGTTTCTTTGATAGTCATCCCAGTCCTCCGCATAACATGCCCCCCCCCCCCTTCCATCCATGGACGGCATTCTATTCCTCCCACAGAACCATTCCCCACTCCCTTCCCGGGTCCTCTTTGTGGGCGCCGCATTGACTCCGTCCATGAGCCCCACCCCTGCTCTCTATGAACCCCTCCCTGAGCTCCGTCCACGGGCCACAAACCGTTCCACTGCCGGACGAGCCGGCGCCGAAGAGCGGCCAGCTGCAGTCGGCCGCGGCTGTGCGCGATGCTGCGCAGCTCCAGCTCGTGGTGCAGTGCCGCCGCCGTGCTGCACAGCGCCCGCAGCGCCCCCCGGAGCAGGTCGGCCGGCTGCTCCAGCTCCGAGAGGTAGCTGAACGGCCCGGTCAACAGCACCGCGTCTGGAGCCGGGCGCGCAGGGGCGGCGTCAGGACGGCAATATGGGCGGGACGAACAGATAGGGACGGGGATGTGGGGAGGGGAGGGGTGCCGTTGCAGCACAGCAGACGCGTCAGCCGACGCAGACCGGGGCTGTCTGGACGCTTGTCGAACGGAGGTGCAAGTAGCTCCTTTGACAATGTCGTCGAAGTCCACCCGGGAAACAATCCATCGGCCGTTCACTTGGTACCCAGTCAGTGTAGCAAGCGTAAAGCGTATGATTAGAGACGCGTTGAATGCGTGCAAATTGCATATATGTACCATTACCACCTGTTAACAGAATCAGCTAAGGGATATTACTTCTGTTCAGTTTGTATTGTTCGATTATAAACACGGGTAAGGTTTAGCTTACAGATTGTTCAGTCTTTCAATATCCTGAATTAACAAATCGCGTCTTTTTAACACCCATACGTCAACGCCCACGTCCTCAGTGTTCGTCACACTGCACTATTTTTGTTTGCTTCAACTGTGAACCAGGCTATGTATACCTCCTGCAATACCACAGTTACATACTCAGCTCTTCCAAACAGGTTTTGGCGAAGAGCAGGTGCTCCTCGCCCGGGTTCTCCTCCAGGCACAGGGTGACGCCAGGCAGCGGCCGGGGTGAGGCGGGCAGCTGCAGTTCACCGCCAACCAGCTCCTCCCGCCGCATGGCGGCCAACACTTGCTCGTACTGCCGCTGCAGCACCTCCAGCTGGTCCTCCAGCGCGACGAACTGCCCGATGCTGGCGGCGGACTGCGGCGCCGACTTGGCCTCGTCCTCGTCCGGCACCACGTCCAGACGATAGTGACCTGACGCCACGTGCAGCTCGTCCGACGAGCCGGTCACCGTCCCTGGCGCCGACTCGTGCGGCTCGTCCGGCGGCGTCCGGACGGTGGCGGACGGGGGCGCGCCACCGGCGGCGGACACGGGTGCCCGGACGGCGGAAGAGGGCACGTCGTCGTCGGCGGCGGCCACCGCATCTTCGGCTCGCTCTAGTCGCAGGTCGCGCTCACTCGTCAGCTCCGGCAGGGCTGGCCAGCCGCCCCGGGCTGACGGGTGCAGGCGGCGCAGCGCCTCGAGCGCTGAGCCCGGCCCGCCGCAGACACGACGCGTCGGGCCGGCACCGGACGCCGGTGTTGGTGGCGCCATCTCTTGGAAGCGCGAACGTCGGCGCGGGCGGCGATTGGTGGAGGCGAGGATCGACGTCCAACAGAGACAGGAAGCGGGCCGTGGTGTTGGCTCGCGTGGTTGGAATAGGGACCACCGCTTTTGGAGAGACCTGAGGGCGTCCGGTTCTGTACCCAGACGAGTCGCCCCGCGCTGGATGTGTTCAATAAGGGCACCGCTGTTGCGTTCTAACCGTACTAATAAGATAAAACTCTGTCCTGAGTGATGCCAGACATTTAGGCCATAAGCAACAATATTCAACAACTGAGAAAAGGATTGTAAGCTGGGCACACCACATCTGAAGGACGTTGTACAATGATTACGAGCGCCGCCTCCTGTGTAACGTTACAAATATTTATATCCATACCCAGACTCTGGCAGCATTTAATTCACCAAATGTCCCTATCACTTATGACAATCACCCATGAGGTGTCTAAGAGGGGTATGTCAAAGCACCTTCAAACTTTGTTAATGGGTTTGAAATGCCAGACAAATACGCATTTCCCACGAGCTTTTCCACCTTCCCCTCTTCTTGTAAGAAGACGCCATCTTTGCTAGACACTTTTCATATTGCAGATCATACAAAACACCCAACAAAAACAGAGGTGGCTTGTGGGGGCCAGAACACATAAGAACACACATGGATCCCACGGGTCCGTGTGTGTGCTCCCACACTCCCACAGCTCCCACACTCGGCACTCATCGCAAGCGACATATATCGACGCCCCCACCGCTAGCTGGCGGTGCCGGCCGGGTTGGGGGCCACCTTCCGCTTCCGCTTGTCCGGGTCCTGGCCGACCTCCGACAGCTGCTGCTTCAGCTCCTTCAGCTGCAGGTCGGGCACGTAGCGCAGGTCGTCGTGCTGGGACTCATGCGGATGCAAGCGGACCCACACGCCCGGCGGCGTGCTGCGCTGCAGCAGCTCGGCCACCAGAGGCGCCACCGTCGCCGGCAGCTCGCTCAGCTGGCGGCGGCGGAGAGAGGTGTCACGCACCGCACGTGCCAGAAGTGGGCCGCACATTTCCGGCGAGGGAAGGACAGAGGAACGGACCCGCCTTAACACTGGTATGTGTTGGACAACAGTATTCCCCAATGAACTGACGGCGTCAACATTGCAAATATCCTTATAATGGCCTCACTGTACGCCGAATTCTCCCGAAATGTTCAGCGCAACGTCTATAGCTAACTATCGAGTTATATTAAACAATTAACCCCGAATTAATCGCTGGTTCCATATGTGCAACAGCATGGCGGTGGTGACCGAAATAGCGTTCGGCGTCCCAAACCGACCGCATTCCACTATCGCCGGCCACGTCGCGCGGGGCCTCGACCGTCGGTAACGTGTGCGTTCGGCAGAGTCGAGTCACAGCCCGTCGCCGCCGCCGTCCGGTGAGCTCCCACCTGGACGTTCCTCTCGTACGTCTTCATCTCGTAGGAGGTCTCCACTATGGCGCTGTCGAGCTTGAACCGCGTGACACGACAGCTGGAGTGGGGGCTGGCCCAGCTGCCGACCAACGCACAGGTCAGCCCACACATCGGCGCGCCCATAGCAGCGCGCTACGATAAACTCCTAATGAATGCATCGTCGTGCAGTCCGGATTGTCAAATCAGAGGCCGTGGATCAGAACACGCCACAGGCACATATGCATGTGTAGGCATACAGAAGACGCCTAATACGTGCTCTGAACGGCTGCCGCCCTGCACACGCGTCCACGTGGCGACGGGGGGCCGCGTCGTGTCCGGCAGAGGTGCGCCGTACCGAACAGAGACCGGCCAGCGCGCCAGGAGCGCAGCGCGCTAGAGACACGTCAGGTGTCGCAGTGCTCGCCCGGGCGTCCCAACCCCCGACCCTGTGCGAGACCCGCCAGCGGCGGCATCACCACTCACCAGTCACTGACGTCAACGTCCAGGGCGCACAGCACGTGGTGCACCATCACCACTCACCAGTCACTGACGTCAACATCCAGGGCGCACAGCATGTGGTGCACCATCACCACTCACCAGTCATTGACGTCAACGTCCAGGGCGCACAGCATGTGGTGCACCATCACCACTCACCAGTCATTGACGTCAACGTCCAGGGCGCACAGCATGTGGTGCACCATCACCACTCACCAGTCATTGACGTCAACGTCCAGGGCGCACAGCATGTGGTGCACCCACTTGGCGTAGTGCTCCAACATGGCGAAGTCATATGACTTGAGCTGAATGTTGATCAGCGGGTAAATGGGCACCATTTTCTCCGAGGCCTGCCACCACATACGGGCTGGGTCAGAGGCAGCAAGGAGGCAGCAAGGCTGCAACTGGTTTTAATGGCATGCCATGGCATGTTGTGTTGAATACACAATTCTGGGCGTAACACTGTGGTAACAAGAACACAAAGAGGATGAACTCACTTATGTAGAAAGTTGTGCTCTGGACTGAATAACAGTGTAATTTGTGATCTAGTCATGTGCACACAGCAAGGAGCTATCACTGCATTCAAAAGATCAGTTGCCTTCTTGTGTTATCAAGAAGGCAACAGAGAGGAAGTTGTATATCTAAAAACAAGTTTTAAAAATAACTGTTGCTATGCAGCAATGTCATCATCTTGGCACCTCCTCCCCTTGGATGTTTCCACTCACAGTCAGGTAAGCCGGCTCCAGTTTCTGGTTGGTGACCTTCACCAGCTGTGGAGCCCTCATCTGGCATTGTGCAGATGTGCTGAACTTTGTAGCATGGGAGGGGCCAAAAATGGCGGTCGCCACAGCTCGCCTCCACATCTGAGAAACACACCCTCATGAATATCCCACTTCATCATTTGAGTAATGAGTAAGTCATTTCTGTTAGCCTTGTTTCTCTTGTTTATTCTCCTGTTCATTTCTCCTGTTAACATAACATTTTGAATTTATTTCTTCTATTTCTTTTGCAAAAAGCATGTTGCTGAAATACCAGCACCTCTAGATCTCCATTCTCCTAGTTCTTCTCTGAGGGATAAACAGTTGCTACTGTCTGCACTCATGCACAAATACACTCAACAATAAACAGAATTATGAGGAACTATACTACCAGTAATATATTACCTATATGTTTAATGTTCCTTATAATAACAACTTCCAATAATTCAAGTAAAATCATAATTGTTTGCAATGATTCACTCATGTTAAACTGGAAACAAGAAATAAAAATGAGAAAACTTCTAAAATCATAAGGAACTCTTGCTTGATCACAAACATGGCCAACTGCTGCAAAAACACTCTGAAGTATTATGTTGTGCACGCAACTGACATGGCCAAGCTATTCAAATTGATTACAGTTTTGTCTTGGGCTCAGAGCATGGTATCATGTTAATATCATATTCATAGTTTTCACCCAGGGTCACATGAGAACCACTGCTGTCAAAGCAATGACCATGGATCCTTTACAAGCATCCAAAATTGTGGAACTGCTATCAGTGACCTTTTTGCTATCATAAAAAATAAACTACTAACCTTCAATCAGATGTTGATTGACACTGGGCAAGTGCTGGTAGGCAGGCAGGACTGACTTAAACTAGGCAGTGATGAGCTGAGCCCACAAAGTAAGCCTTGGATTGATATGATCATTGTGGTTCTGATTTCCCTTTCCACAAAGCACCCACCAGCGGTGCCTTCTGCTGGCAAGTGCAGCCAGGCAGCAAAAACACAACAAATAAATGAAGCTGATTAGACCCCCTAACAGGATTTTCAACTGTAGAGGGAGGGAGGCACTAGAGGAACTCACCTCCTTCCCCCCCATGAAATATATTTTATCACTGATGTACATGATAATAGCTGTCAATCACTAAATGGTAGTACAGAATTACAGCATGGAGATTAAAAAATATGACATGTTGCACATAATACACCCTTGATGATCACCTGCAGTATGTTAAAATGTTTTTTTTATTGAGAATGCTGATTTAACTCCCTATCAATAGCCAAATGAAAATGGAAGCACCATGGTGAAACCTTACATGTACTCCTGAGACTACCACATTACAGTCAGGTCACAGTGTACACATGTACTATCCCACCCAGCTGAATTTTCACAAATATTGACAACACATGCACTCAGATACCTATCTCACTTCACAAACATCAACAAGGCAAATCATGTCTAGTGCATTAGTGTAAGTCACTGCAGTATTCAGAGACTTTAACATGGAAGAATCTGCATTAGAATACTGTAGTGAGGAAGCATACTCTTTCGTTTTGTTTTTTCCTTACTGTCCGACTCCTTTGGTAAAAAGGAGAGCCCTGGCGAGCTAGGTGACACGTCTCACACCTGAAGCCTTCTTTAAAGCACTCCTTCACTTTTCACTATTTATCTTCGATATCAATTAAAGCCCGTAATTTTCCTTGGAGGGGAACTTTAAAGACTGCACACAGTAAAAATTGAATGCAGCATTCGCCCGCGCCGACCTCTCATGGACCGCAGCCCCCACGAAAACAATCACCGGCCTTCCAATTCAGCCGTGCAACCCCGCACCAAGGCCTTGTAATGGGGTATGATCATCCAGGGATTTTTCAGGCACTTCTGTTCATTATTCCAGTGACGTCACAAAATCGCAGCCTGACATCGCCGCACAGCGTGCATTGCCGTCGCGTTTGCCTCATCGGTACATCTGCGAATATGCGTATCTGGAGGGCATTTCAAGAGATCCTCTGAGGAAACATGGAAGGGATATTTTTTTGCCACATTCCTTTTGTGTATAACAGCGAACATAGAAGCAGGAAGCGGAATTCCGTGCGCCTCGGCGCTCCCACTTTCTGAGAATGCCAAACATTAAGTCTATGGCAATGAGTTGAAGCTTGGCCGGCTTGCAGATGCCTAAACCCGAACGTAGCAGACCTGCCAAAGGTCGAGCCTTAAACACAGGAGGAGCTGAGCGACATCAGGGTCACTATCTGGACTGTTGCGATGAACCTAGCGCTGTGTATAGCGATGCACCAGATTGCACTGGTGTGCGATTGAGGTAGTTTGAGACGACGGAGGTGGCGTGCTGTCTCATGCCTGGTAGGAAATGGAGCATCGTGGATATTACAGCATTTCATAGTGCACCACCAACGCCACGAAGTTTCCTTGGGTCATGGCGCATGATGTCAATCAAGATCATATCCCCATGCCATCCTAACAATGCACCCACACGTTCATGACCAAAAACGATTCTTGAGCACCACGTACACTTCATTGTGCATGATTGGCGAGGGCACAAAGCAAACGGGGGGGGGGGGGGAGGGGGACGTAGCTATAGATCTTTAGCTTGAGCGTGGAGTTGCGCGACATGAAAAACTCGTCTTAAACAGCCCAGACATTTGTCTGCGATGAAGCCGTCTGTGCATCAGACAGACACATCAGCATGCGAAGCCAAAAAAGATGCAACCATGTTCACTTTGCGCTGCCAACGTGCTATTGTGACAGGCTAGCTGAGCGTCTGGTATCAGCCCGCTCAGCCCTAGCCCGATCATCCATCCATCGATATTCATCCATCATCATCGTCATCAGCGCATCCATCTGAGGCACAGATGGATGCGCATCGCCAACAGTTTCCATGCAATTCACTTGTCCAGTGCGGAACATTTTTCCAGTAGCACCAGATTCGTGGCGCGGTCGACGATACCAATGTATCGGTCCAAGCCTCGGCCAACCACTAGCTGGAATACGACCTCGAAAGCCTCGACAACGCTCATTCGGGCCGGCGACGACTAGCAGCAGACCATCCTGACTAATTGTGCGTAGCCAGCTGTCTGGCACACAGTGGATGGTGCCTTTCGGGTTGACAGTCCCATGCTTGGGTCGAGTTGTTTGCACTTGGCCGTGATGAACCCGGAAACGAGGGCCAGCGCCTCGTGTTCGATGCTAACCTCGTCCTCTTCGTCGCCGCAGCGGAGGTCATTCTCGTCCCTCTCGCCGTCACCCCCACGGAGCTTGTCCTCGCCCACCTTGCTGACCTCGTCGTTCTCGTCAACTTTGTTCAGGACAAGCACTGGAGCCATCGCGCCTGCTTGCTGGTGGGCTATCTCCGTGTCGTCCGTGTGCCTCTGCCGCTTCCATCACAGCTGGATGTTGGATCACAACGAGACACGGTCATTTCGACGTACGTAAAAGGTGCATTGATCAGAACCCATTACACGTAAGCAATTTAGTTCGTCGTTGCACGACAGCAAAACGTCTTGGACCCAGACATGACCATTCTTTCGTTATGGCGCCCTGTTTTGTATACATCCACAGTTGTTGTGGTCCAGCATGACATCATCCTGGAGGCTAAAAGGGATGGCTAACGGACTTACGGGCACTTTGCTGCGTGCACCTTGCCGATATCCACCGCCTAAGTTTTGCACATGACGTAAAGCATGCATAGGCTGATCAAACCGGACCAATTGGGAAGGGGGTGGGGCACAAGTAATGATGCCGAAATATCGCATGGGTATCCACCCAGCATCCTGACCGACTTCCTTTTCCTATGCAGCTAGCCGCATCACAGATACGGGAAGACATAAGCAATGCATCCAGGATTGGCTCGCGAGGTATGTGTCGGCAGTTATAAAATGGTATAATACAACGACTGTTCGCACGGCTGTAGATTTGTATTCTTTTGGGTGGACCACTGAACCCCTCCCCCACATTCAATCTGGCCCCCTGCAATGGCGAGTTTGCCCCCCCAACCTTCTGGAGCCGAGGTACATGTAGGATTTTGCAAATATGATCTCGAAATTATATGAAGCTTAAAAAACACTTTTACTAATTGTTTTACACGTGATAGGCCAAAGACAATGAAGAATGCAATATGAAATACACTTTACTGCACCTCACTGAACAATTCAGCCACACTTTTAAAGCCCCGCGGTCGGACCGTGTTTACTTAATTCTTATGTAGCTTTTTCCTGCATACTGCGTGTTTTTAACTGCACGAGTGATATATCTTGCTGAATCTGGTCTAGTTTTGTGCTATTGTGGGAATGTTGTGGCATAATTCAGTGATATTGCAGTTATGCAGACCGCAGCAAGTTGCGTTATTTTGCTACGTCTTATCACGAGATGGAAACAAAGCGGCGGAACATTTGCATCCAAAACCGTAGCCAAGTTATTAGCCGCCTACATTCGAAAAAAGTCTCGAAATGTATTAAGCTTCACTTCAGCGTAAATATTCGATGAAATAGTTGCAAAAACCAAGTGACACGGCCGCCTATTTGTATTCCTTTGATTGGGCCACTGTCCCCCAAAGTCCCAAAGTCCAGTTTGACCCCCAACAATAAGTTTGGCTACCTTCGTTTGTTTGGCTACCTACCAAGCAGAGCTTACTGCAGCATTTTTAGTTTTTGCTGTACTGTATGTTTGGATTGCACAACTCATCTGCTCTGTTGACCTTGGTCCTAGTTTTGGGTTACTGCCTGGGTGATTTGGCGTTGTTCAGCGATATGTCAACACGCGCCCGGGTAGTCGGCTGGATATCCTTCGCTCGGGTGTGAGTGGGGGTGGGGGTCAACTTGACCCCCCTGAGCTCTCAGGAACTAAGAAAGCTAAAGGCACTAAATTCTGAGGGTGTGTTGAACTGTATCTGAACTCACTTAGGTCAAAGTTTGAGATTCCTAGCTCATGAGCTTCGGGTCAAATAAGGTCAAGTTTCAGGCTGGTCTCCAAAGTGCCCCCAGAACTTAGATAGCTGTTTCTTAACAAAAGGTCACATGTTCATTTAAGGTCAGGGACCTTTTTTGACCTCTTGAAGGTCATGGTGACCAAAATCATACAAGACTGAACCGAGTTTTGCGTGTGAATAAGCGACAATAATATCACTAGGCAGTATGCTTCTTAAAACAAAATGTTGACCGGGGTCATTTTATGCCACTGACCTATTCTGACCTCTAAAAAGTCTATGGAGGATGTATAATGCGGTTCCTGCTAATAATAGATTTGACATGAGCACCAGAAACTGTCCCATACAGCAAGCCCTAGAGTAATAAAACAGGTTGGTTTTGACCTTGGTGTGGTCTTCATACCTGACCTTGGGTCAACGTAATTCGCTCACTTCAATATTTGTGTTGCACAAGAAAGCATTTCGGAGCAGAGATGTGTGGCTTTGTCTAACACTCCGCTGTTGCATCAGATTTAACGATTCCCTAGAAATTGAGTTCGCTGAAACCATGGTCTGACTTTGATCTTCTATAGGTCAGTGACCTTACAAGGCACATCTACATGTTTTATACCAAACGATCTGCTATTAAGTTGTATACAGCTATGCAAAATTTGGCCTGGCTACGCTGCGACGTTCGGAAACCATTTTGGAAAAATCTTCGGGGGGTCAATTTGATCCCTCGCCCCCTCAACCGTGCGCGTGTAAAGACTGCGGTAAGCTGCTGTCACTGCTAAATGCTGCCACGACATGGTTATCGGAGAACTAACACGCGCCTCGAGTATAGGGTGACGTTGACCTCCCAAAGGTTTTTACGAAATAATTTCCGAACGACCCGGCATAGCCGCGCTAAGCTTTGCATAGCTGTAGGCAATTAAACAGCGGATGTTTGCCACAAAAATGTACGGACCTTGCAAGATCATTAACCTATGGCAGGTCAAAGTTAAGCCGTGACTGTCAGCTAATGCAGTGTATGGGTCTCCGTTCAGTCTGATGCGACAACGGAGTGTTAAACGAAGCCATACATCTCTGAGATAGTTTCTAGACAATCAGTCAATTGAATTTAGAAAACCTACATACTTCTTTGACAGCGCTTCAAGTATAAAGGTCAGACTGACTTCAAAATCAAATAATCTTTACTCGCGAGCTTACTGTATGAGAAAATTTCTGATGCTCACTTCAAATGTATTGATGACAGGGACCGCAATAGACATCTTTCACGGACATTTAAACGGAATGTTCCTCATGTAAGCAGACATTAGGCATGATACAGTCAGCTCACTTACATAACTGTTGGCATACCTCTCGTTGGGAAAGACTGTTCTAGAGAACACAACCCTTTTAGTAAATATTCTCCTCAATGCGTCATTGTTTGATTAGCATCATCGCACTTCGCACAACAGTGATTGAGAGCCAATTGATGGCCGTTATACCTGGATATCTTGCTCACAAATGTTAGATGTGAACGATTCCATAATCATATTTGTATTGGTTTTGAGCGCCGCATGCCTAGTAAAATAGCAGATTCTGGAATACATGACTTGGGTGCAGTCCAGATGGATGGACAATCTAGCTCACAAAAAATGTTGCATCCGCTGAAGCATTTTATTCTTTGCGCAGATATCTTCCAAATTGCCTCAGTAATATAATGGTTTGCTTCGTGAACAGGAAGGTACACTGGAATAGACATAGGGGCTGCCTAAACTTGATTGACTCGTTGCCCCGTTTCCTTGCAGGTGAACAGCGTCTGTCTGTTATGTGACTTTGACAGATCGGCGCAGGCAAATGCGTAGGGATA